ACTCCAAAAGCTTGTATCTATATTTGAACATTTGAATCTTCAAAAACTAACAGTTAGAAATCAAGAAAGGAAACTTCTCATTTAAATACTTAATTTCAAATGAGGGCACTGACACATTAAGAAAATTAAGCCATTGGAATTCTCAATTTCTTTATGAGTATCGGCACTTGATTATAGGGTATCGGCACCAATCCAAATATTTCAACCGATTTTTCCTTTTGATTGTCGGTTGTACTATAAACAAGTTGTTGATGTTAATTTTTTATTTTGGTTTTAGTTAGCATCTTGATTGCTAAATTTTTTGGCACCAATACAAAAAACAAACTGCCTCTATGAAATAAGGGAGATGCTATTGAGACAATCATTTTATTTCATTTTTTTGTACAATCTGACGTGTCATTAAAATGGTTGGTTCTTTTAATTCATGTGATATCCGTGATATTAAATATATCCACTTATTTAATAACATGTGAAAATTATATAAAAATGTGAGACAAAAAAGTTGTTCTTATAATACCACCCATAAAATAAACCTAAGATATTGCCTATGTCAACCAAAAGGATCCAGTATCCTCACAGCCCATGTAGTTGCTCAGGGCAATGTTTACAAAATGAGCAAAGCAACGAGTGTCCAATTGCCTGGCAAACGGTAATCAAACCGAAGCATCTATTGCAAATAAAATAGAAATCCCACATGGCGAGTGCAGATTGCACTCGGGCAACGCTTCTGAGTGCAATTTTCTTTTTAAAAAATTTTAAAATAAAAACAAAAATGAAAGGGACTAACGGGAGGAGGTGTGCTCGTGGACTCACCTTAAACCCAGATCAGGTGCATATAACACCCCTCAGTCCTCATTACAAACACCGAATCCTTCAAAAAAATGGTGCTTGGTATGTAGCTAATTTTCTATAATAATAATAATAATAATAATAATAATAAGTACCATTTAAAAAGTTGGTATAGTACAAAAAAAAGTGTAATTTTGTAATGAAATATTATTAAAATAATCAACTTCTTTATGTTGGATGTTGGACAAGAAGTTTGATACTGGATAAGATAACCACCAGAACTATAAGTACTGTTATAGAATATTCTCATTTGATTTTGTTTATATTGTTATGATTATATTCATATTATAATTTATTGATATAATTAAATTAATTGATTTTACACTGTTATATCCTAAATTCAGTCCTATAAAAATTAGTACATATGGAGACATTATAGATATAGTCCTATTAAGATTAGATAGGATAAAACCCACTAGAATTAAAATATCCAAACACCAATCAAACAGAGTTATATTTCTAGGATAACTTTATGTAAATATCTTATAAATACCTCAAGGATCAACCTAAGGAGGTAAATTATTTTTCCATCACCATTCTCTCTTCATTGTAAACTCTCTTTATCAATAAAGATGTTGATTCCACACCATCTATTTTATTTTTTAGTGTTAACATTTGGCGCCCACCATGAGATCGAGTTCTTGTTCCCCCACGAATACCACATGGTGAATTTGGGAAACTTATCAACACCTCCTAACGACATTCAAAATCTTGAAAATAAAAGAGGAATGAGCACCTCTTCTTCATCAAGAGCAAATTCCAACAATAATGTTGGCAGATCTAAACCAGAAGCTTTGTCAATAGCATCACAGGTGTCAAGGCTTGCACAGGATATGGAGAAAACAAGGCAAAGCTTGAAGGCAATCGAAAAGGCCATAGCATCCTTGATGAACATAGCAAATACTCCAACATAGAATCTGAGGAAATAGGAGAGAATGTAGAGGATTTCGTCATCCAAAAACACAAGGGTAAAGGATTCAGTGCGTTGAAAGAGTAATTATGATGATGGAAGCTACGCACCTTCAAGACCAATAGGGCCAACTACTGATTCATATCTGTAACCATCCTTTACTTTCACTAAGTACAAAATCCAAGAAATAGACATGTAGACAAACACACAAACAAATGGAAGAAAAGGTGCACCACAAACTCATGGAACTTCCGATGCTCTGTTATGCAAGCAATTTCCTGCAACCTTCAAGAAAGCAGTGCAAGTTTGGACTCCCCAGAAAACCAATCATCACCTATTGACAATCAAACAACAAAATAGACGAATCATTAAGAGCCTAGATAGCAAGATTCCATAATGAAGTTGTGAAAATTGAAAAGTTAGACCAAAGCATAGCAATGCATGCTTTGATGGATGACTTAAAAGATTCAAGCCTCTATAGGTCTCTAAATAAACAAGAACCAACCAACTTTAATGATTATTAAGAAGAGCGAAAAGATATATCAAAGCAGAGGAAAGATCTCCAAGTAAAGAAGCACAAGAGAAAAAGCTACGAGGAGACCAAGCCTAGTGGAAGAAAACACATGTTGATCGTTGGAATTCCTAAAGCACCACTATTTGCATAACTCTACATCATTCAATAGAAAGCTGCATAGAAACGAATTAACAACTTACCAAATAAGTTTCATATCTTTTTTACATATTTAAATAATTATTTTCATAAACTTATCAATTATGATCTTGAAAGCACTAATAATTTTCTCATGTCTCTAAAGTAATTAAGATAACAAAATCTATATAGCTTGTTTCTGCTCTAAACCTGCACAAAAGAAAATCTTAAGATGATATAATGCGCAGGTAATCTATTGCCACAAAGGAGTACATGTTTGCAGGACTTTTAGACTTAAGGCCTGTTTGGTATAACGGTTAAAATTCAGCGGATAGCAGATATCAGGTAGCAGATAGCGGTAGCGGGTAACGGGTGGCGGTTAGCGGATAGCGGATGGCGGATAGCGGATGGCGGAAAGTGGGTAGCGGATGGTAAATAGCGAATTCGATAAATATATCTGTTTGGCTATACAATGGTTAGCGGTTGTT